AAATCAAATATTCTTCAATGGTGGGAGTCATATCAGCTTCATTAAAGATGAAACACTTGTATGCAGGATCCCAAAATTATGCTGCAGCTCTGATTAGTTGATCATCAACAACTACTACTAGAAGGTGTGCTATATGACCGTGTCTCTGGCAAAACTGCTTTTGTCTTGATGGACCCATCTTCTTCCAGATATCAAGCAAATCCTTTAGATTGTTCTGTTTGAGGAGGATAGATGTTTCTTGAGACAGAGTAGAATCATATCCGATTGGTAAACAATCCCTTATCTTCAGTTGAATCTTTTCTGACTGGGCCCTTACTTCGTTGGGTGTCTCACAAGGCGCTAATACGGATGAAGAGCAAACTAGTCATTCATTGCAGTCCATGAAAAAAATTTGTTGAAGATCGTCTTTTAAGCAAATGTTCTTTATGCAACTGTATGATATGAGCATGAACCAATGCAGAAGAATGGGAGAAAATGTTAGTACACCCAAAATAAATAAATACATAAATAACTAAGTAAATTTAAACATCACACAGAAAAAGAAGAATGAACCCTATGCTTCTGGTCAAATCTAAAAGGGAAGAATAATGGCTTTATCTATAGGCTAAGCACTTCTAAGGTTCACTATATGTGGTTTAAGGTCAAAGTCTAAAGGTTCCCAAATTGCTCTTTACATCCTTGTCCATCACAGACTAGTAAGGCACCATAATCCTCACCCATTACAGGCTACAAGCGAAAAAGGTTCAATTTGAGTGAGAGTATTTCGCTAGCCACTGCGGAGGCATTAAACTTCACGAAAGCAATAGGTACTTTACTCCCTCCTAGAGGGACGGAGCTCGGGTATAGAGCTCATGTTATGCATATGCATATGAATGACATAATTAATAAAGTAAATAAACATGAATGAATAAAAAATCTATACAAAAGGTTCAATTTTATTAGGCTTTTGGATAACACAAATTTATTTGCCAGCCTGACTCTCGGAGTTTCCCAGTAGAGTCGCCAAGCTGTCATAACGTCTAGATCCGAGGATCTATCGCTAGACATTGACTTAAGGAGTTGCCACCAATCTTTTTTTATCTAGGTGCGATTGGCCACCTAAGAAATCTATCATTTCAGGGAACACCTAAGTTTAAGGGTCCCTAAAAGAATAGGTTCAGGTCTACTAACCAGAACAGGGTTCGGGAGTTCGGTTACGTGTGAGGAAGGTTATAGCACCCTCAACAACGCCCATCAAAAGATGGCACCAGCTTAATTTTGTATATCCAATAAGCCTTAAAATTTTATCAAGTAATTAACTATTGGAAATTATTCTCAATTGACTCTAATACTTTTAGCAAAAATTGAAAAAATCCCTCACCTCAAGAGTATGCAAGAAAACTACCGTTTCACTTGCAGAGGCTCTATCGTTGGATTTTTAACATTAAAAAAATTCAAAGGAATAAAAAAGAAAAAAATGATTGCTTTTGTACAAGGGAAAATTGATACTTTCAACTTTTCCCTTAAAAAAATATTTTTTGAAAACTTCTAATTTCGAGAAAAAATTGATACTTTCAACTTTTCCTCAAAACGCCTTTTTTTTTTTTTAAAATTTATTTTAAGGAAAATTGATACTTTCAACTTTTCCCCAAAAATAGTTTTTGAAAACTTTTAATTTTGAGAAAAATTGATACTTTCAACTTTTCCTCAAAACATTTTTTTTTGAAAATTTATTCTTAAGGAAAATTGATACTTTTAACTTTTCCTCAAAAATAATTTTATTTAAAAAAAATAAAATGATAAAATAAAATAAATAGAATAAAAATGAAAATAAATAAAAATAAATAATAAAAATGTTAAACAATTCTGATATAACAATAATAATAAATAAATAAATAAAATAATAAAAAAAACATGAGAACAGCTCGGCTTGCGGCTCGGCTCGGCTCGGCTTGAGGAAGAAAAAATGGCTCGGAGACGCGGCTCAGGGTGTCGGCTTTGCTTGGCTAACGGCTTGAGACGCGGGTCACATGCGGGTCGAAAGCGGGTTGACGCTCGGGTCGGATCGGATCTTGGTAAAACAAGTGGATCCTCTGGGTTACTTAATGCAGAGATGACGTCATTTTAGGAGGGTATATAAGGCTGATTCCTTCGTTTCTTCAGCAGAAGCCTTCTTTCCTCTCTCTCTCTTCTTTTCTCTTCTCTTCCTTCTCTCTAGAAACCCGAAGAACTCCGGTTGAATGACCGCTGGATTCTGGAAATTTTCGTCGAAATCTAGGTTTTTCGTCGAAAGTTCACTGAAAAGTTGGTCGGCTTCTGAAAATTCTTACCGAAAATTGGGAGGCTGGATGAAAACTTCAAACTTGGCCGAAATAGTTACCGAAAAATTCAACCTTCGTCGAAAAATTCAATCGAAATCTGAAAATTTTCCAGAAAAAAAAATTCACAGAAAAATCTCCAAAAATTTCCCACAGATTCCTAAAGCTATTCTAACACCTCTAAACCCTTTTTCAGCTTTCAAATCTCTTCTCTCTGCCTTTTTTTCTCAGCCAATAACTCTTTTTTCTATCTGTTTTCCTTTGATCCGAGGGTCCTTTTATAGGGATTGATCAGAAGAGTTTCTGATCAATCCCAACTCCTCTTTGGATCGGGATTCAATCATTGAATCCAATATGGACTCTGATTGAATCCCAATCCAATCTTCAGCCGAAAAAAAAGAAATAAAAAAATAATAAAAAAATCAAATAATAATAAAAAATTTTAATAAATAAATAATCGATAAACCAAAAAATTAACAGATAAATTATAAATAATAGATAAATTATAATATATAATCAGATAAATATATATATATAAATATTAACAGAAAAAAAATAAGGATATATATATTAATAAATAGTAATAAAAATAAAAAAAATAAATACATAAGATAAAAATAAAAGAAAAAAAAATAAATATATATATAAATAAAATAAAAATGTAAAATACAAAAATAAAAAAAGAAAATAAGTTTACCCATTTGGACCAGGCCCAATTGATCCGGGCTTGGACCAAATTGGGTATCTACAGTGAGGGAAAATTTAAATTGAGGTTCCAAATTATAAACAAATCAAAGCTCAAAACAAACATCATCTAAGGAGCATCGGATGCTTTTCGTGGTGCTCAATCTTTCAGAGTATATTAATTCAATCAAACATTCTAAACGACAACCCTAGAGGAATAATAACTGTTAACTAAAACCAGATTTGGATTATTGAAATAAGAAAAAAAACCAAATCTACTTAATTAACAGGCAGCTCATACATAAAGATATTTGCATTTTAATTATATATTTAGCATATGTAAACATTCATATGTCACATTTAATTCGTCACACCCACCAGCTAATTAATATTCAGTGAAGTGATTCTTGAAAAGAAAATTTTTTTTAACAGTGAATTTGTCAGCTAAAATGTTCTAAAATTTTTATGGTCCTTTAGCTGAACAAAACATGAATGCTAAGCCATATTTACATGAAAAGGACACTCCTTTTTCGAATTGTTTGTTTTAAATTTTTTATAATGATTGAACATGATTCATAATGGATATCGTTTTCTAAATCTAGAATAAAATTGCCAAGAACAACTGGCGAATGGACCAGATATGAGAAATGACACTTACGATTGCTGTTGATCGATGCCAATTCTGGACAATTTAGGCTTGGAAGTTATGCTAAAATTACATATACAAGAATTCAAATGCCATGTGCAGATCAGGTTAAACCCAGCCATAGATAACGTATCGATTCTTTAATTTATTATTGTCTTGTTAAAGCTATAATAACCATTTCATATTTTATATATATGTCAATTCTTTGCTAGTTATCGAGGGGATTACAATTTTGAAAGACCTAATTTTATGCAGAAGTTGGAGTGAACTCACGAATTACCAATCTTTTTCTTTTCTTTTTTTCCTTTTTCCCTGTTTAAATCAAAGCCTAGCCAAGGGATCTGGACCTGTGTATAAAGCTGTAGCAACAACTGACTTAAATATTAACTTCTCTTTCAACACAAAATTAAACCCCAAGGATATCACTAATTGGTAGAGTTAGACGTAGGGATTGTTCATTAGCAATTCTCATCACCTGCTTTGGATTCACTGCCTTGATTTCCAATAGTTATATATTTATATGTCAACGTATATACAAAAGAGTATTTTTTTGGCAATCATAAAAAAAAAAAAGGAAATTAAGAAGGATGTGAGACGTGATGCCCTCAGATAGGGTGACCACATCGATATCAATCGATATCTGAGGGCTTATGAGATTATTGGGATGTCTGAGGTTCTTAGCCCTCTTCAAAATTTTTTGTATTTTTGGTTTATATTAAGCTACGTTGTAATCAGAGATAATAATAGTATGCCAACAGTCGTGTATCTATTAGTAGAATACTGAATTTTTAATTTTAATAATCAAAATTCAAAATTTGACAAGTTTTATAGTAAAAAAAGGAAAAAAGAGACAAGTAGTACTATTCTTTAATCCCGTTTTGCTTAATCAAAGATAGGTGATAAATTTGATTTAGATTAGGAGAAATTAATCAAAATCTCTCATACCAAATTGTAACAGATCAAAGGCTCAAAACAAGCATCATCAAAAGATCATTTGATGCTTTTCTTGGTGCTCCATCATTTCAGAGAATACTTATTCAATCCAAAAGAAAAAAAAATTTTTTGTGATAAGAAACTTTTCTTCTAGCTTTATTCATTCTCCATTTTTATTCAGTCGGAATTTGATCTAAAAAAAGAAAAAATTCTTTCCACTACAATTATTTCTCATCCAAATAGAATAATAATGCATTCCACTGCCACTTATTAATATTCGAAAATAGGATTATTGATATTAAGCAGTTGTTTTTTACTTTATTTTATTCTCCAATTTTAAGCCGTAGATTGTCTGTTTTAATTGTATGATTGCAGTAACCTTTCCATCTATATATATTTGCAGCGTTTATTACGAAAGCAGACACAATTAAAGAGGAGATAGAAGAACTGAAAAAGGAAGATGAAACCTGTTAGAAGAGACTCGCTCCAACGAGCTGATCATATCTTTACTCCTTGTAGCGGAGGCATATACTATCACCATGGTATATATCTATATATTTTTTTATATTTTTTTCAACGGGAAATTTGCATTTAATGTATTGTTTTCATCAAATTCAAGAAGCAATAATGTTTAATTACATGTTTATTTCTTTTAACATGTTGCACTTGTTCAACCAGACTTAGTTTTGGGAAGATATAAATTTAATTCTTCTACCCTTTTCAGTTCTTCAGTTCCTTACATCATGTTTGGTACGAGGGAAAATAATAGGTAAAGAAACCAAATATGTTTGGTTTGAGAAAAATTTTTTTGTTTTTATTTTTTAGGAAATAATTTTTTAAGATAATCTGATTATTTGAGATTTAAATCTTTTTCTCTTTGACAAATATATGCATAAAAAGAAAATTTCTTCGCATTTTCTTTTGTATTTTCCTCATAATTCAATAAAGGTAAGAAATTTTATATTTTTTCCTTTCTTTTAAAATACCCTTGTCTTTTCCCTAACATTTTCCATACACCAGGCAGATCTTTATTACTTTCTCAATTTTCCTTGCTTAATTTGACTCCAGGCATATATGTGGGCAAAGCCACGGTCACTAACCCGAAAAATAATGGAGAAGAACAAGAAATATACGATGCAGTCATTCATTTCCTCGGATTTTACAAGAAAAGCAGCTGTAAACCCCAATGCAAGAGATGTTTCTACACTTCTCAAAATATGGGAGTTATCATAACCTGCCTCGATTGCTTCCTTGACGGTAGCTTAGTCTATGTCTACGAATATGGCGTCTCCTACTTGACATTTAATTTTAAAAGTAACGGCAGTTGCAGTTATTGGGATTCTTATCCTCCTGACAAGGTTATTCGGACAGCGTATTGTTTTCTCGACAAGCAATCCTTCGGTGATTACCACTTGGTTTTTAACAACTGTGAGAGCTTTGCAACCTACTGCAAAACGGGTAATGCCATGAGCAATCAGGCCTTATTCGGATCAGGCTTGCCTGGTGCTGCCGCTTATATTATTGCAAAAGGTATATTATGGGGGAATTAAGGAGTAAATTAAGTGATGCGAGGTTCAAGAAAGTGAAGGAATGTACTCAATTTGCTGCTATATTTTTGTTACTCAAACCTCTGGAAATGCATAAGGCTTTGCAATGTCAAATAGGGTGGGGTGGGATGATTATAGAGGTCCAAGGTTTGTAATTTATTGCTCTCTTTATTTTGTATAAAAAATTAATATATGTATCAATAAATAAATTGTTGTCATTTAAAAGCATTAGTTGATCATTAAGATTCAAGCCTTTTTCTCTTGTTTTGATTGTTGGTTTGGATCAAAATCTCTTTTTAAAAATGAATTTTGTTAACAAGTACCTTAGGAACACTCTATAAAGTTATTATTAAGTAATTTATTTCTTTCAATGTCTTGGAATGCATAATAATACCGTCAACTCTCACATTTAATACAAGTACAAGAATATTGTTTTAAATAGTGTTCTTAATTAGGATACTCTAAAGAAAAATCCTTTTAAAGTACTTTTATTGTATATGAGAAAAATCACTAAATTTGGGAGTGTAAATTGTAAATTTGATTAGAATTGGATGATATTAAATGTTTTGAATTTTGATGTGTTTAAAGCATTTTGAACTATTGTCCACTTAGCAATATGAATCTTGAGCCACATTTATGTGAAAAATGTTAGGTTTACGGTAACTCTAATACCAGTTGTTAAGCAAAAGAAGCTTTAATTCAAATGAATATTCATATCAACAGAAGCGAAATTAAATAATTAATTAATTAATAAAAAAATAATAATTTAACGTGATTCAATTCAATCAGTCTACGTTTATGAATAAAAAAATCCAATAGTTATACAGAATTACGAACATACAATCTCAATCAACCACTCAACAATTAATACCCATATTATCTATTTAATATATAAATTAAAATCATGCTTTCTCCTAAAATTATAATTATTTTATATTTTAAAATTTAGTTTTTAAACTAATATTAATTTTAGCAACTTCAAAAATAATTTGTGTATTTTTTTAAACAGAATTTTTAAATGTTTTATATAAAATATATTTTTATTGTTCTTTTATTATGATTTCAATAGATTAGTTTTATTTTCTAATTCAAATGTTTTTCACATCATTTATCTAATAAATAAATATAGTTTTTAATTTAACAATTTAATTATATTTTATTATAAAATAAATAAAATATTACTATATCTTGCAAATTATCTTTAAATAACATTAAAATCTTAACTTGTGTAACTATTGAAATTTGTATGGATATTTTCGTACTTTTAAGTAAAATAATATTTTATATTTTTATGAAGAAAAAAAATAAAATAAAATTTGATTTTTGAAGATATCATATATATTTTTTAATTTCTATGAATTAATGATTGTTAAACAAATAAAGTAATTGCAAATCATAGAGTGATAAGATCATGATAATCTTCAAAATGATACTAATTAAAGTTTTAAGTTAATTAATGGTCTTGGCCTACTCGAACAAAATAGATTCTAAAATGTTAAGTGTCATAATGTCTAGATCTGTGAACTTATCGTTAGTGACTTAAGGAGTTATTGTCAATTTTTTTTGTTTAAGTGCGATTAGCTACCTAACTGAATTTATCCCGTTTTAAAGAGAAATCTTAAGTTTGATTTAGGTATTTTTAAAAGGTAGATTTAATGTCTACAAAACTAGAATAAAGTTCGAGAGTACTGTTATGTGTGAGAAAAGTTATAGCATCCTTACAATGCCCATAAAATAATGGTACTAACTTAATTTCATATTATCCATTGAGCCTTAAAAATCTTGTCAAATAGTTAATTATTAAAAATTATTTTTAATTGACTCTAATACTTTTGAAACAAAATTAAGAACGTTTCCTCACCTCAAGAAAATACATAAAAATTACTGTTTTTCTTGTAACGGTTCCGTAATCGGATTATTTAATATAAAAAAATTCAAAGAAAAATTATTACTTCAACTTTTTTTGAGATTTCTTTTCTTATTTTATTTTCTTCAACTTTTTCTTAAATATCTAAAAGCTTTAAAATATTTATTAAAAAATAAACAATATTAACTTAATACATACATCAAATAAGAAGAAAGAGAAAAAAAAATTACCAAAAATAGGAACTGCCCGACTTAGCCCGGCAGCTAAAAGAGGGTTCAACTGTAGAAATAGAAAACAACTTGGTAGGCGCGGCTTTAGGCTCGTCTTAACTCGTCAAACAGCTTGACTTCACAGATCGGCTTGGCTTGAAGTCTGAAACAGGTCGCAACTGGGTCGGATCGCCCGTGGAGCAGCACTCGGTGCCTTGGATCGAGTCAAGAGGAACCTGGTCCCTTGGATCGAGTCAAGGGATGGTAGGTTGGCACAAATATTTGCTATTATCAGCGTGCTATTATTGACCTTTAGAAACAGTCAGATTGGAACAAATATCTTGCATTGTACTATTTTTCATGTGTTGTTTTCTTTCCTTTTTTATTCTCTGCAGCAATATGCATATAGCTGAAGTTGATCAAAGCTTTGTTGAACATGAGGAGGAACAGGCACAAGAACCTGATAACTTGGAGCAGAATCCAAACCTGCAGCATGACTTGAACTTGGAGCAGAATGTGAACTTGGAGCAGAACTTGAACTTGGAGGAAAATCCGGAAGACAACTTGGAGGAGCAGAACTTGCAGCAGGAATCGCCACATCAACCAAAACATGAGCATGACGATAAGGCAGTGGTTGGAGATGGTGAAAAGAAGTGGCCTGGATGGCCTGGAGAGAGTGTTTTCCGGATGTTGGTTCCTGCACAAAAGGTTGGTAGTATAATTGGACGAAAAGGGGAGTTCATTAAAAAAATAGTTGAGGAGACAAGAGCTTGTATCAAGATACTTGATGGTCCTCCGAGGACAACGGAGAGAGCTGTAAGTTTGTACCTTCTCTTGGCTTATATTACATTTTGCTTTGATTCTGGGAATAGACTATTAGGGAAGAACCAGTTCTACTTGTTGATGCTCACTTTCTGTGTCTACTTGTACTATCGAGTTATAAGCGATATGGACATTTTCAGTATCTTATATTATGATGAATGATTCTGCTCACAAAGTGGCAAACTTAAGCAGAAAGTCATTGCAGGAGATTTCTTTACCTGCTTTTTCTTTCTACATATCTTCTGATTCTTGTTGGACACTTTTCTGTTGTCTTTTTATTTGTTTGAGATTTCATGTGCATTTATTTGCAATTTTGTGCTTAGAATGAAGCCATGTTGTATTGTAGTTGTACAATGACGTGCTAATGATTTTCACTATAGAAAATAATAAAGCCTGCTCTTTGATTTTTGCTAGATCTCTTCTAGTTTAGGACTGCTTATGTACATGATATATTGTTTTATCTAATCTACCATGAACCATGAAAATAATAAAAAAGAAAATATCAAATATACATCACCAAGGCAAAGTTAAGCATTAAAATATTCCTTTCTAATTGAAACCAATTCTATAAAGAAGGTATATAATATAACATATAAAGAAATAGGAAGAAGAATGGAAGTGCTAAATTAATGGATGTAAGATTCAAAGTGCTTCACATTGCAGTAATTTCAATAAATGTAATTCTTTGTTACGTAATAATTGTTAATCAACTCTTAAAATTACCACACATTGGCGGTCAATTACATGCCCAAGGCATGATAAGAGTTTTAAAGATTCAAGTAATTGAAGAAGACTGTAAGGAAGGTCATAAGAAGCAATTCATAAAATATAAATACAGTTCCCTTTTTTGCAATAACAAAAATGAGTCTGTGCAGGTTCGGTTCGCAAATTTTAAGGCAAGGAGTCAAACATCAATAATACTCCAATTTTGAGGTACCAAAGTCTAAGATTGCAGGGATCCACATTGAGCATTTCAAAGTGCTGAAAGTTTGATATGAATTAACGGACACATCTTGTACAAACAACCATATCAAGAAGCTCCGCTTTCTCTTTGGTAACTTCAAACAAGGATTCAAATAGCGGTCGGATAGCGGTGTCGCGGCCACTATTTCGCGGTCGCGCCACTATCAGCTACCGCTATTGGAGAAAAAACGGAAGAGAATTTGAATCTCGTCTATAGCGGATGAATCGCGGTCGTGAATTGCGGTATAACTATTGGCGCTATTCCTATTTTCATTCAAAATTTTTTTAAAAAAATTCATTTGATTTTGTTTAAAAACTTAAAATAAAAACAACAAGAAAGAAAATAAACATCAATTTACAAATTCAAAAAAAAAAATCCACAAAACTTAAACTTTCAAAAAAATCAATTCTCTCAAGTTCAACTTCAATCAAAATCAAGTATATGCAATTTAAGGTAAACAATTAATTCAACACTCAAATTATCTTTTTTTTTTTTAATTTCCAAATTTGCCATGATTTTGTGTGTTTGGGATTAGATTGGGCTATGTTAAATTGATAGAAGGAGGTAAGAGTTGCTGGGACTTAAAATAAGAGATAAGAGATGAGAGTGAAACTTGAGGTTTACAGAAGCAAGCAGATAGCACATACCAAATAAAAAGAGAGCTGAGAGATGGGGATGAGGATGAAGGTTTGGAGAAAAAAAATATTGAATGCAAGGTGAATGGATAAGAAGTTGTGTGGGTCTGTGCAATTTAGTCAAGAGACAAGAGAAGTAGACTTGAGGTTATTATTGTTGAAAATCGACTATAACATGGAGGCTGTTAAGTTTGATTTAGTGTAAGTTTGATTTAGTGTAAGTTCATAAAAAGCAATTCTTTTGACTCATAAATAATAATGCTCTTACTTAATTTATGAATACCTAATCACTTATTATTTGATTTATGTATAATATAGTTCGATAATAATTTGATGAGTACGATAATTAAATAATTAAATATATTATTCGTTATGATTATTTATTTTTCACATATTTATTTATCTCTTTTTATTTTTTAATTATCATAAAAATAATTTCTTAAATATGAATATTTTACTATAAATATTTTTTATTAAATAAATAAAACACATGATATGATATAAATTACTTTAAAAATCATAAAATAAGAGGTTTTATGATTAATAATTAAATTATTATATTTTATAGCAAGTTGAGCAAAATTTTAAAAAATTCACAACCACAATAACCACAATGACCGCGAAAATTTTCGTTATATTTGCAACCGTGACAAACGTGATGCGACAAAAAACGTGACCATTATTGCAATTTAAATCCCTGACTTCAGAACTTGGATGATTGGTGTCTT